GGGCGATGGCTCATCCCTTCGCGCGAGTGAACCCCACGGTGCGGGCTCTGGATTTCACCCCTGGCAGGGAAAGTAGATCGCTCGCCGAGGGAAAGGCCGGGGGGGGGTTCAACTGGGGGGGGACGGAAGGGGCCACGCCCGGGGGCCTTTCCGCCTCCCCCCGCATTGTCTCCGCGGGCTGCTGCGGGATCGGCAGCCATGACATCTCACTTGCGCATGGGGACTTGTACAGCCCAGCAAGGGTGGATACGACCCCTTTTCCAGTAAGCCACCGATCCCCACCCCATATGATGGACTTTCACTCCAGCACAGTGGAGGGGGCATGGACAGCATTGCATGGCTTCGCTTTGGAGAAGCAGCTGATGCAAAGAAGCAAGGATGATATGGTTCAACTTATTCTGGAGCTTGCCAGCTGTCAACCAGAGGCCTCGGCGTTTATTCATTCCAAAATTAACTTCTTCGCGACACAACAAGAGATGAACGCGTCCATGGACGTTGAGGCATTTGGTGCGGTTGGCAGTGCACCTGAAGGTACGAATCAAGCACCGAACTCGGTGAGTTCCCACGGTATGTGTGATGATAACGGAAGTAAATCTTACGAAATAAATGATGCTCATCAGCTCACTTCCTTTGAGGGGACAATCACCAACAATGAGAATGTAATCAAGCCTAGAGGCGCTTCTCACAACCAATCTTCTGATGAAACGTACTTACCCCGCGCGCTGCTCTGCGAAAATCTTGGAACCTGTCAAAGAGAAAGACGATTTTACGATTCTGACAGATATTTCAGCAAGCCCTATCCAATCAACCTGAGCACCTCGCAAATGCGACAATTCTCAGATGCACGTAATAATGGAGTCATTTCTACACTAGCGACACCTATAGCGCAGTGCAGCACAAATCGTCTGTCGATCACAGCTACAAACACGGGCAACAACAAGACCACCACAATATTAAAGAGAACACAAGTACGATCGCGGGATAAGCCTTTTTGCACTGATCTCCACCCATGCCTGCGATGGTATGGAGTTTGCCGCAATCCGACTAAATGTGTTTACGTAACAACGCCACAGAATCTATGTTTGAACTGGATTCGTGCCTCTTGCTCAAGTGGTGACGACTGTAGCGGCGTCCATCGTTTGCCAGAGCCGTGCACATTTGATGTTTTCATGGTTTACCAACTGAATCACGGGATGAGACGTCATGAGGCCTCGTCGTGGATAACCTCACGGTTTTCACCGTGTATCTTTCCTAAAATTTCGTCTTCACTTGAAAAAAATGCCATGCAAGACGCGATGACTCACAAAGCCTCGAAAAAACAACATCAAGCAGAAGCAAAAAGCAACGCTCATACAGTCGAAAATTCGGCTACTCACTGTGGTGACACTAGTGCGGTGACGCCATCTGTGAAGACAGGTGCCTCATTTCTTCATCCCAACCGAAAACGAAGCAACAATTCGGACAAGGCTCACGCACGCAAGAGCCTCACGGAGGTGGAGAAGGTCAATGCAGTTTCAGATGGAGAGCCACAGCTAGAGAATGTCTACCGTTCTTTATATCAGAGCTTCGTCGGTGCAGCTTCTTCAGAAAGCCCAAATGAGGAACCTCAGCCGAAGCTCAACACGGATGAAGATAATTGGCGTGAACATAATGCAGTGACGAAGACACGTAGTCCGTCGCAGGGCAGCAAAACACAACAAGATCACCCCAAATTAAACGAGCGCTACCCTGGCGCGGCATTTGGTATTGCAAACCGCTCTATATACAAAAACGCCATCGAAGACGCTCCCTCTGCCAAAGATCGCGACAACAAATCACCGGACCCTGGAATCCGAACCCGGACACACTCTCCAGAACGTGAAACCCAGGGAGTGAATAATATAATCAAAAATATATTGTAGTGTTACACTCATATCATAAATGCAGAAGTCTTGATTATTGACATTACCCACAAGTTACTATCTCTTTCAATGGAAACAACTTTCGTTGGGTTGTTTTTATTTCACCAAATTATTATTATTTTTTCACTTTTTTATATTTACACATGAAATGTGTATAATTTTTATTTGTGCATTTAGATTCCTAATTTTTGCATTATGTGTAAACAGTCAATATCATACTTACACTGAATAATGATGAAGCTACTAAAATCAAGAGCTATCTTTACAATATCGTTTCTTTACTCTGTGCTGAATTATTGTACTTTGGCATGAGATGTAAACAGCACTAAGATTAAATATATATTATAGAATACCCAGCAAATGGACAAGCATTAGATGATTACATCGGTAAATCAGTTTTCTAGCATGCCAAAGGGCATTGTTTCGCACAGTTTTCTTATTTTCCATAATATTATTCATTCTCCTCGGAAATCGTGCGTCATAGATTTATAGAGAAGTCACATGATTCGTTTTGTGCTTTTTTTTCCCATATTATCCTAGAAAACAATATATGATTGCAAGATATTAAAATAATTGTTGACGGTATATTTATCTATATCTTCCTTTTATGGAAGTTGGAATTTTCTTTTCCTGGATTCAACAATTGAATGCATGCGAAAACCTTTTTGGTAATCATTGGGATAACCCCTTTCTAAGCAATTTACCAATTTTCCTATACATTGTTTCGGATGTAAATATTATATTCATTCGAAGGGGATTTAGTAGTTAAATGAAAAAAAAATGAAAGAATCCACTACAAATATATGTTTTTACGAAACACGTGTAAGATGTAGAAATATATAACAAACGTTGACTTCACAACTTTATAATATTTCAGTATCACACTCAAAAATTACTTGAGCTTCTACATAGCCTATGATTTCTCATGAAGTTTGTCCTTCTTGTGTTTTGGGTATCACATCTTGTCTAACTGTACCAGAAAAATGCTTCCTCTACCCTACCCCTATCTCTCTCACTCTCCCTGATATGCTCAACTCATGTTACAAGCTAAGCCCATAAATTTGCTTCTAACAGAAGCCTTCTTGTGAATAGTAAACACCATAGGAAGTGAGTACAAAAAAAATTGAATATCTCTCCAACAGAAGTCTCCAATTTTGAAACAACCTAAAAGAAGAAATAAATCGTAAGGAAAACGAAACAAAACAAAAACACAAATGATCCGTCGGACAGGCTGTTTTCATTACTGTTTGCGTCATGCCGGGGTGCGCCGGACGGCGATGGGACTTCCCACCTCGACCGCCGCTCTTCCCGGGCTTTCGGCGTGGCTCGGGTGCGGGGGAAGGGGGGGGCCCTTGTCCACCCCGTCGTACTTCGCGATTGCGTCCTCGCGTCGGCTGGAAAGCGGGGTCTCCCCTACCGAAAGCAGCCCGGTGATGATGCGGGACAAGGACGCCAAGCCCTCCAGCCTGACCCAAGAGGCCGTGTGGGCCCTGTGGAACGAAGGCAACCTCTTCTCCCTCCCAGTCGCGCACATGCAGCACTTCCTGCAAACGGCCGGAATTACAACCGGCCCAGGGGACACCAAGGCCAACCTGGTGCGCCGCATTGAGGAGTATTTGCACGCCAAGGAAAGCGCTACGACGACGGCCACCCCTTCCCATCCGCCGCGGGGGGGGGGCTACGGGCAGCCCCACGACCCCACCACCTTGCCGCCCGAGACGCTCCTGGACTTGGCCCAGTCGGGGTTTTACGAGGGCACGGCTAATATGGCCCCAAAGGCCTTTCAGCTTCTCACGCAGGGGACCTCGGCGGATATGGTGATTTCCCGCGTGAACACCACCTCCTTTCCGGGGTTCCCGTCGAACACGGAATGCTATACCTTGACGTCCACCGACCCCAACTCAGCGCTGCGTGCACGCTTCAGTAAGGTTTTTCAGTGGTGCCTACTGAACATGTGCAACCTTCAAATGGATGGCGAGCTATCGGTGTCTTTAGGTAAACTTTTGATGGATTCAAAGGCAATGAATCGCGGTGAGTCTATCGTCTCCGCCTACACCATGCAACAGCGTATGCAGCTCAATAAGATGTACACGTGGGTGACGGCAACCCCAGAGTCGGCTATCGCTACCGTGGAAACCTTTCTCAAGGATCAAGGCTTTTTCCAAGTCGGGGAGGAGCGTCGTAAGGAAAGTACTCCCCCGCTTTCATATGAAGTGATGATCAAACGCGCAAAGGATAAACTGCATGTCGATTTGGATGCGACAGGACGGCTATCAGCCCTTCACAATGAATGGGTGGATATTCAAACCGTTCATCATACGCGACCGCGCGGTCCGGATGTGCGGCTGCTGCTCCGCTCTCGACCACCCATAAGCCGTGCAACAATTGAAACCTATCAATCATTTCCCATTATTGATCTCTCGAACGACGATGTCAACGATGTGCTACCGTCAGAGCATGGCCAGATAATTTACCTGTCGGAAAATGAAACACGTCGTTTTGAACGTGTGAACGAACGTGGGATCGTCATAACAGTGTTAGAAGTAAAGCGGGAGCCTTTGATTGTGCTTCGTGACGAGGAGGAAGATCTTCGAATAGAGTATACGATTTCTGTGGTGATTCCCGCGAGCGCCGGTGGGAGAACCATGGACGTTCGTGCAGTAGGGTTGGAAGTATTTGAGTTGGCCAGTTCCTTAGCCGAGGTGATTGAAACACCTTTTGTGGAGGCTTATGGATGCACCGAAGCCTAAGTTGTTGAAAAGAGGATGACAGTGTTCCCGTTTAATGGCTCGTTATTCAATCTGTATTTGGTTTCCCATCAAAAAGTGCAACCATTTGGTATGCAATTTTATTTTTCGACAACGACATTCTCTCGCTATATTAGCTGTTGTGAATGTAACATGGATGCTTTTTCTCTCTGTGGTCTGTACTCTTGAATAGCACTGTGTCCCCTTAATCCTAAACCCAGGCATGATGCTAATCACCTTTTGAAGGTGTGTTTTCTACACTAAAACTCTTATTATTATCGCACAGAAGTACGCGGCGCGCACAAAAGCTGCTATCTTTTTGTACTTCCTTTTACATGCACAGAAATATACAAACAAAAAAACACGCTCGTTAGCCCTCCTTAAAATTGTTTGAAATATGGGATGCAATGTGAATGAATTTCGTCAAGGCTCTCCAAATACAATTTATACAACCACTCAGTTCTTGAAAGTAGAACTGAATAAATCTGAATCGATGAGATAAAGGTAGTAGTTGTTAAAGCTTGAAACCAAAAACTGTTCAGAGGTTGTTTTCTAATACATTTTACTCTTGTATATCACATAGGATTTAATAGTTTTACGAAAGAAAGGCCTTTGTTCTATGCTTGGAAAAAAGGTATGATCTGAAAAAACAGAAAGCATGCGCTCATAAAGATTGTTCTTTAATACAAACTTTTCCATACCTCTCCTTCTTTACATTTTCGGAGTGCTTATGTTGCCAAAGGAAAGATACTTCATCACGGTTTCTTCTTTCCTTGGCAAGTGTCTAGCGCCAGGAGCACAGGGTTCTGATGCAGCTTCAAGCAGGAAAAGTCATCCTAAGATGATCAACTAAAATGCTAAAAACAACTATCATAACAGCATATTGTTATTATAGACGCACCTGGCTCTGCCAAACTTGTGTACCCCTTTGTCGAAGGTATTTTCTGTTCATGTCTTCCTAGTCTCACACTTTACATCTTATCTACATCAATTTATTCTTCAGTTTTTAATCACTAAGTAATTTACATTTAATCAGGTAGTCTTTTTTATACACTTCTTATATTATAAGAGGTGTTTGTATTATTATATTATATATAGAGAGAGAGAGAAATAGCCACATAGAGTAGGACATCACTTGGTGTCCCTCAGGAGTTTTTAGGAGGAATTGTTTCGTATTTTTTCGTAAAAAAAAATATTTATGCAATTATACTGTATCTAGGAACTGTTTCAGTGTTAACAAATCCTATATTTATATGAAACGACCATAAATCGAATCAACAGAGCCTTGATGTTGATCCCTCATTTAGCTAATTCTGAGTCAGCGTTCGTGCGCATGCATCCTGAACACTTAAAAGCAGGCCGGAACAGGGTCCGAAAAGTATACAATCCCTTATCTTTCATTATCGAGAACCTCCCCGTACTCGAGTCCCCTATATGGAGTAGTGACGAGGACTTGCCCTGTCCACCTTGCCGAGTCAACAAGTCCGTCTTTTTTCCCCTGCGGGACCCCAACGACCAGACCCCCGCGCATTTGAAGTTCCAGGGCCGCCGGGCGAATCCCCCTCCGAGGCACCCCCCCCCAACTTCATCCTGTCCTCCCAACCTAAGCCCGACCGATCCTCGAAGGTGAATCTGCCTTGGCTCTACGACCACCTCCACGACGAAGCGAAGACCCGGCCAGAGGGCCATGCCAGCCCAAAGGTGCAACAGCGCAGGGAGATGAC